CCGCTGGTGTGAGGCAGACTCCACTTCCAGAAAGAGCTCTGTGAAGAGCTAAGTCTCCCCCTCTTCTTTTTTATTCCCTTTTTTTTTTTTTGTTTTCTTCACACTATTTGGAAGTTTCCCTAATATTCTCAAGGAGAGGGATTATTCACCAAGCAGCTGAAGCCACCACTCCTTGATCATAGTAGAGAAACTGGAGAGTCATAAGCCACGAAAATTTCCCTTTTACCAACAAACCAAATACATGTTACACTCAAAAACATTTACATAAAATCTGTACACCAGTAGGCAGTCTGCAGAACTCTGATAAAGGATGCCCTGGATGCCAAAAGCGTACATGGATTCAGGTGGACGTGTACCTTATAGACCAGTAGGAGTTTTTGAATAGACACATACGGCTTGGGAAATCTCCTCAGCTGAAAAAGAGTGAGAATCTAGGAAAGTGCTTGGGAAAAGTCGCCCCCCCCCGGGCTTTAACTGATGGGGTCGGAGTCCCTTCGCAGCAGGCAGCTCCCTTGAGCTGATGGGTGCCTCTTTTTTGACTCCTCCCTCCTCTTGGGCACTTCCTCTCCCTTCAGGCTCGACCCCAGGTTTCCCTGAAGCAGAGGCTGCTACATGACATATGCCAGTTGGGTTTATTGAGTACAGTGGTAAAAAACAGCTCGAGCTGGGTGCCTCCGGGGAGGGACTCCGCACAAAGAAACCCCCGGGCAGTTATACCCTTACAATTTAAGTTCCCCTCATGGGACAGTTGAGTCCAACAGCAATATTTGGGTCTGGGGTCGTCTTGTTCCTCACCGGATCCTTTGTCTCCAGGTGGGACGTGCCTTTTCTTACCTTAATGGATGCAGCTTCTGCTGATGGTTGTGGCTATTTATCAAACATATATAAAATTAAACACATCCCTTTCATTATTCTTTCTGGTTTGCACAGGTTTCGGGGGCCTTCCTTCATGCAGCTAAGGAAAAGTTCAGTATATGGTCAGCATATCCAGGTGCAAGTTCACAGCTTCAGCCTAAGGCTTTAGCAAGCCTTGCCACTGATGCTCTGTATGAGATTCTGTCTGAGCTAGAAAGTGACTTCTATAACATATCCTCCCCAGCAATCATCAGACAGACTTTGAGCACCTGAAGCCAAAGGGGCAGCCAGGGGACACCTGTAAAATGTCCCTAGGAAGGAGAACAGCAGGATATATCGCATCCTGCCCAGCCTTCAGGCACAATCTTCCCTGCATGAACACCTGGAAGGAGAATGCAGGGGAACTACCTGCCAGGGAGGCAGCCAAAGATGTGGAAGGAAGCTTCCAGAACAAGAAGGTCAGTGGTACCAAGGTCCAGTACCAGAGCCAGAGATTGACTGTACCTCTCCTTGCTGGCAGCCTTGGCATCCCAGGAGACATTACCAGCAGCAGAGACCCAGGTCCTGCAAGGGAGGAGACACAAGGCTCCTCAGGAAACACGGGGGAGCCCTTCTGCCATATGTGCACAATCAGGCAACCGGCTCTGGGCAGGAAGATGCCACACACCAGAAGTAACATTCCCAAATGGTGTATTTGTTGCTCACAGCAGTGCAGAGATGAGGTGTGTGCAAAGGCTGATGCCAGGAGGTGTGGCTGTCTGCCACGCTCGTGAAGGCTGAGGCATAGGAGGTGGAAAGGGAATCAGACACCTATCTAGGAGGGCAGTGGCTCGAGGGAGAAGTGCTGTGGTGTGATGGAGCAGACCCACTGTGGCAGCCATCCTGATTGCCCCAGCAAACAGGACCCCAATGTGAAGTGAGGATGTTTGTGAAGGAGCTGCTTGTGCCTCCCGCCTGCGTCAGCAAACCAGCAACTTCCCCTGCCATGCTGAGGTCAGCGAAGGAGCTGGCTGATCACGAGACCCGAAACGAGACCCGAATCATACACCCTTTTCCTTCCTGAATGACAGAAAAGTGAGCAGCATGAGAAGAAACTGCGTAACCACACATCTTGAGAGCACAAACATGCATGTTTCCTCACTGGAACGTAGGTCTTTCCTTGGTGGTCTCTGCTCATACCTTGGTTTCCCAGCCAGCAGCCCCGATGTTAGATGATGACCGTATTCAGCCCCAATTCTTCTGCCATATTCCTTCTGCGTCCCCGCCATTCACCACTTCAGCTCAGCAGCTGTGGCCCTGCTAGGCTTTATTTGCTGCAAGCTGCCTGCCCCCGCCCATGATTTCTCCCATCACAACCCCTGCCCAAGCCATCTGTGATCTGAACCACCTCGATCCAGATCCTTGTCCTTCTCAATGCTAAAATTATTCCAGGCACCCAGGCCAGATAGGAAGGCACCTCCCTACCACCATCTGCCTGATGGCTTTATCCACTGAGCTTCTCTTAGGGCTTCCTAATATGGGAATATTTCCATTCACCTCCCTTGTGCTCTTGGCTGTGAATGCCAATATTACAGGCTCACAACCACCTGGAGATTTCCAGACCATGCCTAAATGTGGAATTACTAGGTGGGACACTGTGAACAGCTTCATGGCTACGTGTCCCACACGTATCACACACACACACACCCCCCCACACACACACCTCTCTAACCGACCTACCACCAAGGCTGTGTACAGGACAGGACAAACAGTTCTGGATCTGGCCAGGAGGACTAAAGAAAGGGAAGTTTTGCCCCTTACATCACCCGAGGTTTCACAGGTTGCCTGTCACAGCAGGCAGCTTGCCGCTTCTCCTGAGCTCTGCCTGTGGGCGAGGGGGAGCTCGGGCGAAGCTGGGTCTGGGAAGCGGAGGGAGGGGAGCAGCCTTCAAAGTGCAAGAAGGGCAAAGTGGTCAGTGAGCTTCCCACCGTGCCGCGGTGCTGGGTCGGCACTGGGACAGTCAGTGACCTCTACAGAAATGTCCAAACAAAACAAACTCGGTCTCAGCCCCCACGGTCACCCAAGCCACTGTAGCAGCACAGCTTTCCTGGGGGAGCTTCGCCTGGTCACTCATTCCCGTCGGTTAGCACAGCCGGGAGAAAAAAGCGCAAACCTGCCCCCAGCTCAGAGGGCGGCAGCTGGGCTCAGCTTGTTCTCAAGGATGAGGGAGGAGCATTGCAACCAGGCTCCAAAGGCCCTCAAAATCGAAACAGAAAGCAAAGGCACAGCTGTGTTGACACAACAGGGGCTGTGGCGTCAGAGCCCAAGCCAGCACAGGACCGGGCAGCAGGCACAGACCAGCTCAGCTCACCAGGGTGGCAACTCGGTCCTCTCCAGTGTTTCAGCTCCGCACCCACCCAGATGGGCAGCCCGTAAGTATCCTCCACTGGGTTCCCCACCTTTTTTCATGTCGCTGGCACTGGGGGGGAGCTGCCAGGAGAAGTGGTGCTGCAGGGTGCAAATGTCTGGGAGGGAGCAGGTCTTTCCCCAGCTGTGGGACACTTTTGGGGCAGTTCCTCCGCAGTCTGGTCCTTGAACCACTGTCTGCCAGCAATCCGCAGCTGTCAGCAGCCTTTCTTCACCTGTGGTTTCCCTGCAGCAGATCCTGCCTGAGGGGGAAAGAGGGATCCTAGGGGGGGAGCAGGTGGCTTCAAGGAAAGGTCCCAAGTCCAAAGCTGCCTTCCTTTCCCACTGCTCTTGCATGGCACTACTCCCCCCAGCAGCCGGGGAGAGGGGATGGAGGAAAGCCGAGGCTTCGGGGGGGCTCTTCAGTCCATTCCTTCACCCCTTTGCATTCAGCCTGTTCACTGCAGCGGGGCCCGGTAGCTCCACAGAGATGGTCGCCCCCGCACACAGACCAGATCCTGCACTGGAGCTGCGTACCTTGGCCTCCCCGTCCTGCTGCTTTTGCACAGGCAGTCAGCCAGCAGCCGGGTGGGAGGAAGGTGCTTGCCTGCCCAGGAGCAGCAGAGGAAAGGGTCATGCAGTCCTGGCAGCACAGAGGGTCCCTACCAGCCCCATCTTCACACACAAACGCCCCAGGGAGCTCCTGAGCCGTGCCCAGGAGACTGAGACACAGAGCTCTCCCACAGTGACGTCCAGTGCTTCCAGGGATGCCTGCCCAGAAACATGGGGGCTGAAGCCAGGCTGGGGCTTGCTGTGCCATGCTTAGGTTCCTCTTTCTTGCACCTTTGAGGTAGAGCCACAGACTCTCCCATCCAAAGGCACAGGCACCTCCTTAGAGGCGGAGGGGCTGCAGATGTCTGGGAGAAGATCCAGCTGGACACCGGGTGACAGCTCTTTCCTGTTTATCCCCTACTCCTCAGCCAGGCTGCCCCCAAACTGGCCTTGGGGCCAAGCTGCAGAGCTCACGAATGCCGTGCCTGCTGCTGCGCTGCTCGTCTCGGGCTTTCATTGCCAAACCACACATCACAGGCCAGCCGTGCACTCCCTGCCCCAGCTGGCACAGGGCACCCACACCAGGCGCGTTTCCATCCCTGTCGCAGTCAGTTGCAGGGACAGGGATTTACTGGCTGGGCTGGGCTGTGCAGGGCTGGGGAGGCAGCAGGAAGCCCAGGGGCAGATCTGCCTGGGATTTGGCAGGGTGAACAGAGGCGTGTCGCTGAGGAAAGAAAAATTATCCAGAGGAAAGGGCAGAGAGACCACGGGATTTCCCTGGGCCCTTGTACATGCAGATATCACGTAACAGCACGTGATCTCCGAGGTGGCTCTCCTCCACCCCTGTTATATGTTCCCACAAACCTTCTAGGAATTTCTCTGTCCCCTCTCTAGTAAACATGTCCAACTAGGATAATTTTTAATTGCTTTTATATTTTGTGGGGGGAGGGAGGGGTAAAAAAAAGGTAACGTGAGATGATTGAACAAAAAGCCCGTGTTTCTACAAGCCTGCTTCCTCAGGAAACTGGTCTAAAGAAATAGGACAGCAAGGGTCGGTGGGTGGGCAGGGCCAGGAGCCGGCTGGGCTGTACAGGTCCCGGCTCTGAGTTCCGACAGAAATCCCTGGGGAACTGGTCAGCAAACTAAGAGCCCCCACCAAGCACAGCTTGCTCTCCCTCTGAGGGCTGCAGGGCAGGATGGCAGGGAGAATGGTGGGCAGGCACGAGCCCTCGCGGGACGGGGAGAAGAGCAGCAGTGCCTGGCTGCAGGAGGGCATGTGTAAGGACAGACAAACCGAGAGGCAATACCAGGGGCAAGACAAACCCTGGTGAAATTACATGTGCGTGAGGTCTCATTCTGCAGCACGCTCTGGGCCTGAACACAGATATTTTCCTGGTTTGTGTCTTCATTGCAGATTCAGAACAATGCGCATCCTTAATGCGACCTTCCCGTCTCTCCAGAAGCCTGTTGTGAAGAAGACCTCCAAGGAGAGCTGCAAAAAGAAGTGAAGTATTGGCCAGTGGTGGAGACAGGTCAGTGTCTGGATGCTGTGACCCCCTTCCATGCTGTGTGTGTGCTCCTCCTGGCTGTGACTGTGTGGAGGAGATGTTTGGGACAGAGAAGCTTTATCCCTGTGCACATTAAACATAGGTGCCCCACTCCAAAATATCCAGGGAGACAGGGAGCAGGAAGGGGATGCTGAAGGGTCACTATTCACCAGTACTGCAACCAGGCACTCAGTACAGATCAAGCAGGGTCTCTCCTGGCACTCTAAAAACTCAGAGGCTGTACCAAATCCACAAGTGGCTGTGGGGTGATGGCCTGGGACATCCAGGACATCAGGACGATATACCACTGGACGATGGGCAGTGGGGAGGAGACAGCAGGACCGACATTGTGAACTTCTTGAGGGAAGGTAGTAAATGATTCACAGGAGATAATGCTTGGTGAAGGCAGGAAGGGGGTTATTTGCAGAGCCTCAAGCTGGAGGCTGAGCTTGAAGCAAAGGTCTCCGAGCTCCTTGCCCTGTGTTTGTGCCTCTGTGCAGACCTGAGTGGCCGGTGCTGCGATGCGGCGTGGCTCTGCAGCCAGGGATAGACCTGCCTGATGCCACTTCCCTGTTTTTCAGCGTGAAGCAGGAGCCTGCAAAGAGGGCACCAAGGACAGTCCACGTTTCCAGGACAGGAGCAAGGAGTCGGGTTTGCCAAGCAGAGAGGAGGGAGGCAATCACAGGTCTGTCTCCGTAGCACCCATCTCCCTGGGCCCCAGAGGAGGGTGAGTGGCTGCGGGTGGGTCCAGGGTGCCTCTTTGTGGTGGACAACTGCCTGTCTGCATGGGGCATCGGTCCTCGGGCGACCGGAACAGAGGAGCATCACGACTGCCAGCCTCCGTGGGGAGCAGGGCTGCAGGTGATCAGCCCTGCTGTGCCCTGAAATGTACAGGCATGCAAGGGCCTCAGGGGCATGTGGATTCTGGAAACGAGTGGCATCAATGGCATCAGGTGTCCCAGAGCTATGGGGGAGAGAAGGGGATGGGAAAGCAGGGGGAGTCCTGCACTTCAGACCCTGTCATGCCTGCATTTTACTCAGTCGTCCAAAGATCACAAGGGATGTCCTTGTCTGACCAGAACCCAAAAAAAAAACCAACCCCAACATTTTCCCAGAACAGCTCTTAGCCCCCTCCTTGCCCGACAGCAGTGTTTTGCTCCCCTCCCAGCACTGCAGTTTGCTGACAAACGCCTGTTGAGTCCAACATGAGACCATGGTGCAAAGGGCATGTGCAGGGCTGAGGGACCCACACTAGTCTCATCCCCTGTCCTCCCAGTGCTGGTCCATGCACAGGACATCATTAAGCCACCTTTGCTCTGACCAAAAATGCATCCCCCTTGACCCAGTAACACAGGCACAGCACAGTCAGAGGCAGGACCGAGATGCTCCTGCTCTACTTGCAGGGGGAGTCCCGAGACCCCAGTAACACAGGCTCAGAGCACATTGGGAAGGGTGCCATAACACACAACAACCAAGGGGTCCCCCCCTTTATGTTTTGCAGCCACGTCCCCACAGCAGGCTTTACCATACTATCAAGAGAGTGTGTGGGGACCAAGATGGGTCTGCTGCAGTGGAGATGCACCAAGCACCTGCTCTGTGCGCTGATCCTCCTCGAGGCTGCCGGGACCTTGGCCTTCATGGTCTACGCACTGCTGTGGGAAGTTGGGAACCTGGTCAACCTCCCTGACAAGCGCATCGGCTTTTACAACTTCTGCCTGTGGAATGACACAGCCAGGGAGCTGCAGTGCCTGGACTACAGGCACCTGCAGGCGATGGGCATCAGCCTAACAGGAATAGCATTAGCCAGGGTTTGTGTGTATACCTGCCTGGTCTTCAGCATGTTCTACCCCCTTTGTTTTGTACATGCGAAGTCCACAGAGGAGAGAAAGGGCTGGAAGATGGTCCTCATCATAATCATCGTCAAGGTGATAATCCTGTCTGGCGGCCTGGGTACATTTCTTTTCCAAACTTCACAGTGGATTCACCCCTCTGATTTCACTGGGGGCTTCCTCGCACTGGTTGGGGCCCAGGCTCTGCTACTGCTCCAGGTTCTCACTACCGTTATGTACCTCAGCTGGGCCAAGCACACACACCCATATGGAAGACCTTTTACTGAGGAAGCCCTGCCCATTGAGGTCTGACAGTTGTCCCAGTTTCAGCTGGGATAGAGGTAATTTTCTTCCCAGTAGCTGGCATAATGCTGTTTTGAATTTAGTATAAGAATGTCGATAACACTGATGTTTTCATTGTTGCTGAGCAGTGCTTGTCAAGGACTTTTCAGCTTCCCATGCTCTGCCAGGTGCACAAGAAGTTGGGAGGGGGCACAGCCCAGACAGCTGACCCCAACTGGCCAAAGGGATATTGCAGGCCATATGACATTGTGCTCTGTATATAAGCTGCAGGGAATAGGCTGGGGGGCAGCGATTGCTGCTCGGGATGGGCTGGGCACGTGGTGAGCAATTGCATTGTGCATCACTTGCTTTGCATATTCTGTATATTCTCTTACCGTTATTATTATTATTTTCCTCTGCTGTTTTATTAAACTGTCTTTATCTCAACCCATGGGTTTTACCTTTCTTCCAATTCTCTCCCCCACCCCACTGAGGAGGGGGAGTAAGCAAGCGGCTGTGTGGTGTTCAGCTGCCTGCCGGGTTAAACCACAACAAAGAGCTACTGAAAACCTGATTTAAAACAGTATATCCCACTACAGCTTTAGTCACTGGCAGGAATTTGATCCTTAGTCTAAAGGCCTATGTCCAGCCATGCTCTGGCACATGGCTGTGATTGCCACCGCTGGCTGGCAGCACTCCTGCAGTGAGCAGGCAGCAGGCACGAACACCTGCAGCACAGAATGGGAGCTTTCCGGGAAGAGCAGAGTATAACACACTCCTCAGCCTGGGGCACATCAGAACAACAGCATTTCTGGCCCTGAACCAGAGGGCAGTGAAAGGAACATACCAGAACCAGCACACGGTGGACACAGCCCTCTAGCCCTATCTAGCCTAAATATAGGCAAGCAGAGAAGCCAACCAGCTTCCTTTCTTGGAGTTGCCCAAAGAGACTCTGTTCCTTCTCCATGTCCTGGACTAACCAGGGATGTTTCTGAGGTAATTGTGACTTGAGGAGCTGTGGCTTCACACTGCCATCACAGCAGTGGCAGCCCTAGAGGTGCACTGGAAATACTCTCTTCAGCAAAAAAAACTTCCCCCGCTGGAATATCTGGAACGACTCTGCTGTAGTTCATTAGGGTGAAGTGGCTCACATCCAATCCCAGCAGCAGCAGAGCACCTCAAGGAGCAGCCTAACAACTTGCTGAACACTGAACACAGCTCTCACAAGGCGGCTTTCTACAAGGAAGCAAGAAGATTTTGGTGCAGAGCCCCAGGTATGTCCGCACTGATATTACGGGGCTGAGCCCAGCACTCTAGCAGCCTTTGAGACTCGAAGAGAGAACGGTTCTGCATGAGGGCAGCTCACCATGAGCCAGCTCAGCCCGACACACACCCCACGCAAGGGTGCGCTCAAGGAGCAAGGCCAGGGCTGCCACAGGCCAGGGTGCAGTGCCCCAGCTGGGCCACAACAGCCGGAGCGCTGGATGGGGTCTCCCTACCACAGCAGTATGCAGCACCGCTCCATGCAGTGTCTGCAACCTCACACAAAGCAGCTCTTACACACACCCCCCCATCCCATTTGCGCACATGAGGGTCCATTTTCTCTCCTGCTGCAGCCTTGGTGGGGATGTGGCTGCTGATGCTGGTCTGACAGATTTTTCATTTCAGTAAACACTCTCGCACCTGCCCCAGCCTCATGTGGTTTGTTCATCCCCCTTTTGGGCTGGGAAAGGGACGCTGAGCCATCCTGATCCCATGCACACTGCTAGGGGGTCAGCCCCCTCGTGATGGTCCCTGCCCCTGCCAGTCTGCTCCCACTCACATCTTCCTCAGCTATGGGAGGCCTGCCCCAGCCCGGAGGCAAATTCAGCAGCAGGCCCAAAGGGGACAGCCTGCCAGGCCCCACTGCAGCTGTCACAGAGGGACTGCAAGGGCAAGGGAGCCTCAAGGCTGAACCATGACTATTCAGCTCTGCAGAGCCACCAACTCCCTGCCCCGCTCCAGTCCTAACACTGACCCACCAACGGGACATGCACAGAAAGCCGAATGTCCTCTTTAATCCATCCATGCTCTGAGATGCCAAACTGAAATGAACATAACCTAGTCTGGAGCCAAATTCCACTGAACCCAGCACACACTGGGAGAAGTGAGTGCCCCCCTTCTTTTCCCCCATGGCTTTCACAGGCCTCCTACCAGCTCCACAGGCCGCCAACACGGCAGATACACAGCCCACCACAGGCCTTCCTCCTGCCATCCTCTGTGCTGCGGGAGGGGACACCCTCCCCACAGCCCCCATTGCTCCTGGGAAGCCACGGAGGAGGCAACGTTAGCTGAAAAAGATCTCCCTAACGTATTTCAGAACATCGTCCTCAGAGTCCTCCCAGCCCGTCCTCTCTGCGCCGGCACCAGAGCCAGGAGAGGACGGGAGAGCCGGGCTGCGGTCGCTGCCTCCCCCCGTGCCGGCCGTGCTTTCAGGAGCCTCGCCTGGCGTTGGCTGGAGCTCCTGCTCCTCTTCGCTCCCGGACCGGGCCTTCTCCTCACCTTCCTCGCCCTGTAGATTCTGACCAAAGGGAGAACAATCAGACCCGGCTGTGCACCCCAAGGGGGGGCAGCCCCCCTTCCCCGCCGGACACCCCCTCGCCAGTCCCCAGGTCCGCGGTGGAGGCGGTTTTTGTCCCACAG